CACGAAGATTGAGATATCAAAATATGATATGTCATGACTAAAAAATTTAAAGTGGCGATCAAATACAAAATGGCGACCAATGAAAAATACTATAGTGCAAATAAAGTGGTTGGTATATTATCTCCTGCAAGTGTTGGTGGTAAGTGTTTTCCTAAGTCGCTGCAGCCATGATTGAAGCAACCACATATTTCTGTACACGGGAGCTTATTGCTACTGCAACTACAAAATATTTTCCTTTACATTGCAATTTGCAGCCACACTTATAAGTCTGATGACCTCTGGCGCAGGGGCATTTAGACATCGCACTGGAACGAACCTGTTTTCTTCAGGTCTCACTTCATCATAACAACCTGCGATCCCAACAAGCTTTTCAAGAAATAATCCGCAAAATCACTCTAATATCTCATTTCATCTGTTTTGGAGATAGAGTTTACAAGTGCCATGCCATCTATAATCATAACTGTGTACTTATCAGCTGTTACCTCCTGTTCAGTCATATATTGAGTACCGTAGGTGCTTGCATTTTTCCATCTATTGGAATTTCCTGCTCTTTGGGGATAGTGCTTTAAAATCATGAAGGACCTTAGCTTTATCATAGGCTAGCAGGAGTGACCTGTCTGAAGCAAAAAGTGCACGTGGAATAACAACAAATTGATACTGCCTTATATGTACTTTTAAATCAAGGCTGGGCGACTGTGTAATGCAACAATGTAATGTAATGTAATGTAGTGGGATTTGGTATAGCGCATTATACCGAAGTCTCAATGCGCTGGAAAAACAAAAACAAAAGGCAACTCCTATTGTAACCAAACTACAGATGCAGAGAAATAGACTGAGCAGAAGAACCAAACATCACTGCATCGTTCGCCTGCAATTTAAGACCATTGACAGGCAATGGATGGCCGGCACATAATTCACAGATGCTCTCATGATGTAAGGCATCTATCTAATTAAGCCTATACTCAAATCACAAAAAAAAAAAACAAAAGGCAGAAAAAAAAAAATGTATGAAAATTTGAAATTAGTAACAGGTATTGAAAAGATGAGTCTTCAATCTTGTCTTGAAAATAGCAAGAGTTGGTGCTTCTCTTACACTAGAAGGTAAGCTGTTCCATAGTTTTGGTGCTGCTACGTGAAACGATCTTTCGCCATACGTTTTTAATCGGCATGCAGGAACTTGCAGAAGAGTAAGGTCTGCAGAAGATCTAAGGCGCCTGCCACAGTTAGCTGAACGAAGGACGATGAGGTTTGAAATGTAGGACAGGGTTAAATTGTGAAGTGCCTTATATGTAATAATCAGGATTTTGAATATGATTCTCTGCTACACAGGTAGCCAATCCAGACGTTTTAGTTCTTGATATTTCTAAGGTGATATGAAATAGACTTACAGGTAGTGTTGATGTGTTTGTATAGGGTCATTGATTCATCGAAAGTCACTCCAATGTTTTGAACAACATTCGAAGGCATGACCATGGAGTCACTTACTGACACATGATGAATTTCAGGCGGGGAATTCAGATATTTTGAATGAATAAGAAGAGTTTCAGTTTTATTGGAGTTGAGATACAATCCATTTTTGGATACAATGAATCTCTGTAAGAGTCCTCTTTCTTCTTTGACTTTTGAAAGTGCCTATCGTCGTCTTTATTGGATCCCATATGGAAAGTTTTCTCTCTGGAAGGCGTTCTTTTGCAAATGTCTCAAACATCTTCTGTCTGATGTCATCAAGCTCTATTATATCCTTTGCTAATTTTTCATTCTTTACTTCCTTAGTGAGAAGGTTATAAAGGTCATTCTCATCAGCAGTGAATGGATCTCCGTGATCCACAAACACCTGTGTCAGCAATGTAGCATTCTTCATAATATTCGGGTTGCTTTCCTTCTGTTATCTCGTAGTGTTGTTTTCTAGTAACATCTTTATTCATGAAATGTTGTCTGTTAAACTCATAGATTGGCCAGCTCTAGTGCAATCAGAAAGAAACTGTCTAGAGTTTTCTCATTTTGTATTATGCTAATGATACTGCCAATGACCTTGAGTTTGTGGTTCTCTTGTTGAATTCCATGACCTGGACCTATAGACGCGAACCCAAAAAGTCCCTTTGTCACACAGAATTTACCTCTCATGAACTCTTCCCAGACATCTGGTAACTTTTGTTTCCTGCATTGTTAAAAGATATAGCGGAAAAAATTAGGGCGTAGTTCAGGTGGTCATGTGCAAAGAAATACTTGATAAGAGCCTCTGTACTTACCATGTGCAACATCAGATCCCATTGCCTGGTGGCCCTAACATACTGAAGTATAGTTTCAATCTGTTTCAAGTAGTAAGGATGTAACGTTGGATAGGATTTGCATTGCCTTCAAATTGACCTAATTTCGTGAAGATACCGTATCTCTAGATTCGAACACTGTCAGTGTTTTATTCATGGCTATATTGATATTTCTTCAAATTTCTTTGTTCATGTTGATATCTTACTTATCTGTCTATCAAACAAATGGATACTTCGCTTAAAAACTCTTTCCATTCTGGCATTGTTTTCTAGAAAACTGCCAAAGTAGAGATGGTAGAGAGCAAGCAGGGTTATAGTATGGGGTTCTAGTGACCTGTAGGGATGTTTTCCATTTAAGATTTGTGTCACTGCTGTAGGCGAGTCTAGCTTCAACCCAAGCCTGGTCAATTACACTAATTAACATATTTTCCCAATGCTGCTAATGCCCAAAAGAGTACATGTACTGTAGCTCACTGGGTCGAAATAAGAAATGTTTCTTGATGTCATCTTCATCCATAGGTTACAAATTTCTCACACGAATAAAATATACGTGTGGTACTGGGTAAAGACAACTTAATTTCTTACTTCGAACAAGGTATCCATTCGTAGAAGTCTTATGAAGATAAGCCTATCCTATAGTGACGTTGAAGGGTTGGGACCAGGACATATCTTCGACTTTAGATTGACAAAGATTGAAATATGTTAAATACAGACACAATGTATACATAGGCCTAGTTCTAGATTCCAGTTAGAATATGTAATTATGTATATATATATATATATATATGTATGTATATATATATATATATGTATGTATATATATATATGTATGTATATATATATATATATGTATGTATATATGTGTGTATGTATGTATATATGTGTGTATATATGTATATATGTGTGTATATATGTATATATATATATATGTGTATATGTATATGTGTATATATATATATATGTGTATATGTATGTGTATATATGTATATATTCATATATATATTTATATTTATATATATTTGTATGTGTATATATGTATATATTCATATATATATTTATATATATACATATTTATATATATACATATTTATATACAGTATATACATATTTATATATATACATATTTATATATACATATTTATAAATATATATATATATATAAATCATTAAAGAAAGGTAAATATAGTTCTCGAATAAACTGTATTTACCTTTCTCTGATGATTTATTTAAGTGTTAAGTGTATATGTATGTATATATATATGTATGTATATATATATGTATATATATATATATGTGTATATATATGTGTATATGTATGTGTGTATATATATATATATATGTGTATATGTATGTGTATATATGTATATATTCATATATATATTTATATTTATATATATTTGTATGTGTGTATATATATGTATATATTCATATATATATTTATATATATACATATTTATATACAGTATATACATATTTATATATATACATATTTATAAATATATATATATATATATATAAATCATCAAAGAAAGGTAAATATAGTTCTCGAATAAACTGTATTTACCTTTCTCTGATGATTTATTTAAGTGTTAACGGCTATCTTGATTATTTTCTATTCCACAATTGTTTTAATTATATAGGACCTTATTAATCTTACTATGTTTTATTTCCTGTTATTGTTTACTTTAGTTAAATAAGCCTTAGCATTAAGCAGGTTCAATGGCACCGCCAATAAACTATCGCTTACATAATCATTTTGCTGACATCTTATCATGGTTTAATTGTAATTAATTCGCTCATTAACTTGTCACTGAACTTATATTTTGTGGTCCAATCAACTAATTGTATTGATAACTTGATTCTGATTGGTTTATTATTCTTTATGTATATGTTCACGTCGAACTTTTATCTAGATATACATCCACTTAACTAGTTAAAAGTTCGACGTGAACCACTCAATTATAGCTAGTTAAAGGAATTAAGTCACTTAAGTTAAGTGACTTAACTTTACTAGAATAACGGTAAATTAACTTGCTTAACGGTAAAGTCGGCTCGGATTAAAAGGACACGATTACGTNNNTCTTATATTTCATATATTTCTGTCTCCTATACACATCTAGATGTGTATAAGAGACAGTATACATAAAATGTTCATATACTTATAATAAATATTAATATACATTTTAAATTTACATTATATGTACATGTATATATATTTAAATATATATTTTTATTTAAGTGTTTCTGAAGTCCATACATGGTATTCGTTTCCTACATTCTTTTGTTATTTAAATATCAATATATATAAATTATTACCATAGTATTGTCATTATTGTCTTATCATTATTACTGTATCATTAGTTTTTAAATTATGCCTTTTTTATTGTTGTTGTTTTTATAATTATTTTTGTTAATGCAGTTTTTATTATTGTTATGTGGATGTAAATGAAAATGGAATAATAAAGGCAATGATTTAAAACACTTCAATTTTGACATATTTCAGCTTTGCATTCAAATTTCTTCTGGTAATGGTTTCATAAATGTACAGTAAATTGCGGCCGAGTTGACATAGAGCCGAGTTGACATGGGGCTGTGTTGTCATGGGGCCGAGTTGACTTGGGGCCTGGTTGACTTGGGGCCGAGTTGACCTGTTTCCCTATTACTTATATTGTTGCTTAAAAAATGCTAGGATTTATTGTACAGTAAATTATTTGTTGTTTTTGTTTTTTGCAGGCTAGTAAAGAAGCATTATCATCAGTAAATGCTACAGGAATAGCTATGCTGTTTTCTGCTGGGACATTTCTGTATGTGGCCACAGTACATGTCCTGCCTGAAATAGCTAATATGGGTCACTCTCATTCTCACGGATTACCTGTTGCAGATGCTGAAGTGCTTGTAGAAAATAGAAATACAGTTTTCTCAAAAATAGAGATTATTGCACTAGTTGCTGGCTGCATATCCCCGTTATTTTTATCATTTGGACACCATCACTGAGATGCAACCAGAATTGAATAATGAACTGTCATTTTGATATATAAAAGTTCTTGCCACGTACTTGAAAGTATATTAAATATTCCTATGTATATTTTCAGGGTTGCAGAATCAATTATAGACTTTGCTGAATATTTTCTCCACATTATTTTACTGCACACTATATGTTTATTTAACTGAGGTTCATTTTAAAAATATTTCTCTGTTTTTTATTTTGTGACAGTGGTTTGAATTATTGAAACCCTCATAAAATGTTATTTCCAGTAATGATTTCTTTAAGCTATTTTGTGCATTGAATGCATGGCAACTATCTTGTAAGAAATCAATACTGATCTGTTTCTGTTAAAATTGTATTCACCTATGTATGTGTGAATTATACTTTGCTTTCCTTACGGCTTCGATTCAATGGCGCTTCATCACTGTCTGGGATACCACCTCTGGATGCATTATCATACTTTTGTGTAATGGGGCAAGAAGGTACTGCTTGCAGACCTGAATACTGAGGCCAGGCTAGACAATTGTACTGTATTTTGTAACAAACTAAGGAGTTTTTAGTACTGTACAATGTATGGGGAATTTTTGTACTAACAGGATAACTATGTATAATTTTCTGGTAAGAACAAACATCACATTACTGTATTAGCAGTCAAATGACAGTGAGCACTGCATTAATACTATTAGAATATTACAAAATTAATAATGTAAAAATTTTGCCATTTTTCAACAATGGAAAGCCTACAGATATTTATGAAATATATAGAATTTTAAAATACCTTGTTTGCATTGCCATGTATGATCAACTCTAAATTCAACTGAATTACAGTAAGATTATAATCATCTGATACATGATCTTTTCCTTTCATAATTTAAGTAAACTTAATACCATTATCGTTTATACCTTGGCAAGAAATGTTTGAGGAAACTGGATTCGAAGAGCTTTACAGTACCTAGGCTTCGATAGTGAACGAAAGGTGTAGAAGGTTTAGAGTTTAAGATTGCATTGGCAATACCTACCAGAGTACCATATGCATTTAATTTGGTAGATAGATGAGGTGCTGCTATGTTTAATTTGTATTGTAGACATGTTCAGATGAGGTAGAACTAAGATTGAAGCCTGGGGTAGTGCCACTGAAGATACTTTTTGTATTAAACTACTTCAACGTTGCTTTAAACGACACTTTACTCCAAAGAGTACTCAGTAGTAGTGTGTCATTTTGCTTAATCAAAGCATATGGGAAATATCCACTCAGAACGTGCGACATTTAAACTCACATGTTTCGAAGCTCGCAGGAGACCTTGAATATTATCTTGATTTTATTCCAGAGGTAATACAGTACCTAGAAATGAGTGCCAAAACAGCATTTCTTATGATTTGTTAACGTTTGTGGTACCATTTACAATTTTTTGTTTACAAAAGTCCAAAATAGCATAACAAAAAGAGCAGCACTTATTTCCTCTGAAAAATTTGCACAATTACTTTTAAGCTTTGAAATTAGCTCATTGGGAGTAACATGCACATGTTAAATGTTAACAGTACGTACTGTATGTTGTATAATTGCTTTGGACTGAAGGCCATCAAAACATGCCTAAAATATTACATTTCTATTTAATATTGTAGAAATGGGAGTATAATATTTTATGTATAGGTACATTAAATAAATGATGACTTGATTTGATTATAGAGGCTAACAGTATTTTACTATAGTTTTCAGTAAATAAAAATATTTTAATAAATTTTCCATTCATTTCAATGTACAAAAATACTATATAGAAAAGTGTATGCTCTATAGTACATAATATATATAACAATGAAACTTCAAACAAAATCAAATATCAACATTCTTATTTTCAGAAAATGTACAAGAAGTAAAAAAGCAAAATGATCTCTTTAAAAAAATTAATGGGTTTAATTTAAACCTTGTATAACTGTTTGTCAAGGTTGAGTAAAGAAATGATTAAATTTTTGTGACGGTCCGAGTAGGGTGTAGATCTGAAGACCATTGAAAGAAAAAGCACCGTAAAAATCATACCGTGATATGCATGAACAATTCTTTACTTTCAGCGATTGAATCGCTATGAACTGAAAATGCACTTTCCTATGTAAGGTCGGATCATATAGCGCGTAATGGTTATGATTCACCGTGTACCTCGCTATTACCATTGCAGCCATAGTTCAAGTCTCACTAATTAACGTCGCAGTGAACTTGGGTTTCGATATTTTTTTTCCCCCACTTCATTTTTTCCACTTCATTAAAATTATATTGGTGTTCCGTGTTTTTTTAACTTTATACCTTTTACCAACTTTTCTTATATTTCATATATTTTTCGTATCTTTTTGCACTGGTTTTTTTTTTTTTTTTTTTTTTTTTTTTTTTTTTTTTTTTTTTTTTTTTTTTTCTGGCTGTCACTTTGGTCACTTCCCATGATTTAAGGTCAAACAGCCTACACCGGATATCTAAAAAACCGGTCAGTTGATGTGAATGAAACTTACGGGAAAGTTTAATCAAGGTACAAGGAAGAAATGTTTATGTTAGTGGAGATCCTGTGACGAAGGGTGTAAATTTGAGGGTCTTTTCAATTTTTGAGGACCCAGACCTAAATATGTTTTTAAAAAAACCAATGGGTCTAAATGAAACATTCTATATTACTTTGTAAAGGTCTTGTAAAAAATATGATAAAATTTTTGTGACGATCCGCAGTTGGTGTGGATCTGAGGACCATAGGAAAACGTCCCAGACCACATATTTCGAAAAAAGATCAACTGATCTGAATGAAACATTCGGAAAAAGTTTAACCAAGCTAAGTAATACCAAAAGTTACAAGGAAGAAATTATTATGTGCTGGCAACGAATCAGTCAATGATGTAAATTGGAGGATCATTTCAATTTTTGAAGACCCAGACCTAAATATCAATCTATAATTTAAACCTTTTACAGTGAACACAGTTTGTCAAGGTTGAGTAAAGAAATGATCAAATTTTTGTGACGATCCGGAGTAGGGTGTAGATCTGAGGATCATTGAGAAAAAACATCCCAGACCACATATTTTGAAAACGGATCAACTGATCTGAATGAAGCTAACAAGGAAGATTATGTGTTGGCGACGAATCAGTCAAGTAGTCCGTTGTCTTATGTAGAAAAAGCAAAATTTTGGGTAGATTCTTGGCAATTATGTTAAAACAACTCTAAAAACACTACCGTACTGATTAAGAAAAAAGTGGGTGCCAGTTTTTTCATTCACTCAGGCCTCCATTTTGAAATTCAAAATGGCCGCCTTTTTTAACCGATTTATTTGTATTAAAGAGTGTTTTAAACATTTTATTGGAATTGTGTGTTTGGATAC